CAGATACATACTGACACACACATACACTGACACACAAATATATCCTGGCAGACATACTGACACACACACACACACACACACACACACACAGACATACTGGCATACACACACACAGACACACAGAGACACACTGGCATACACACACAGACACACTGACACACACACAGAGACACTGGCATACACACACAGACATACTGGCATACACACACAGACATACTGGCATACACACAGACACACACACACAGACATACTGGCATACACACACAGACAGACACAGACAGAGACCTACTGACATACATTTAGCCACCCTCCAGGTTCTTACCTTTTCCTAGAGGGTGGTTTCCCTGGTCCAGTTGCAGGCTGAGGCAGATGGGAGTTCTCCTCTGGAACTCCCCTCCTCCCTGCCTTCCTCCTTCCGCGCGGCCACTATCTCCGGTGGGAGGAAATGACGTCACTTCCTCCCAGCCGGCTGCAGAACCGGAAGAGGGGCCCGGTCGCGCTGTTTTAGCGCCACAGCGCCCGACCGGGCCCCTGCTGACACATGCTCTCCGGGTGGCCCTTAGTGCATGGGCCACCCGGGGAGCCTCCTCAGTGTGCGGGAACCGCACCGCCCGGTCCATAGGGGCTGCGCAAATCGCGGGGCCCACAGAGCAGCTGCTCTGGGCCCCCAGGAGCAACTGGGCCCGGGGCAGCTGCCCCGTTTGCCCCGCGTTAAAGACGGCCCTGTATATATGTATGCATGTATGTCTGTATGTATGTATGTATGCCAGTATCAATGTATGTCTGTATGTATGTATGTCTGTATGTCATTATGTATGTATATATGTATGTCTGTATGTCTGCATATCGTTGTGAACGTATGTCTGTGTGTATGGATGTCTGTATGCATGCATGTCAGTATGTATATATGTCTGTCAGTATGTCTGTATATATGCATGTATGTATGTATGTCTGTATGCCATTATGAATGTATGTGTGTATGGATGTCAGTGTCTGTATGTCTGTCAGTACGTCTGTATACACATATGTATGTATGCCAGTATGAATGTATGTATGTCTGTATGTCATTATGAATGTATGTCTGTGTGTATGTATGTCGGTGTCTGTATGTATGTCAGTGTGTATGTATGGATGTGTCTTCATGTCCTCATGCGTGTGTGTCTGTATGTATGTTAGTATGTGTCTGTCTGTCACTATGTATGCCTGTGTGTCTGTATATGTGTGTATGTCTCAGTATGTGTGTGTCGGTATGTATGCCTGTATGTCTGTTTCAGTATGTGTATCTGTTAGTATGTATCTGTGTCATTTTGTATCAGTGTATGTGTTTGTGTCTGTGTGGGCGGTATTTGGAGGCGGACTCTGCGGGCGGGATTGGAGGCGGGCCCCAGACCCTGAGCTGAGTTAGGGGCCCCAAAATTTCTGGTGGCGGCCCTGGTGGGAAGCATACTCCACATATAGCTTCGGCTCAGAGAGATGCAATCTCCGAATACAGCAGGCACTCAATTGCTCATCTGCCTGCCACCTGGCTGTTCTTGCAGGACGGTGTGTGGACGAGGGGTGACAGCATGACAGACCTGGAGATTGAGTGTCTATCAAGGCCTACTCATGGCATTGGCTAGATCCTACATGGCAGGGACCCTTTATTAACTATATCTACTTTCCTGGTGTACATTGCAGGGTCTCCTACTACAAAGTGTTCCCAGTTTTGAAAAGTACCAGTGGCACCACTACTGCTTAATGTTTCTCATGTTAGCCTAGCATGTACTATTAAGCGTGCTCTACATGTCTACTTAACCTAGCACTCTTTTACCCACATAGAGATTCTCAGCCAGTCTATATTCTGCTTAAACTCTGACTAATAGCTACACATGCATGACTTGCCTTGTTTATCTTATCTGCCTAGCCTGAATTACCATTTCCATAAAATTGTGTACGTATACTGAATGCCATTGTTATGCTATGTTTTGTTGTTGAAGAGCTTGTAATCGCTGCTGTGGCAATTCAAGCATGTTTGTACATCTAGGCACATCTAAAATAAAGATTAAAAATAATCCCATATTTTCTTTATAAAAGACAAAAAAAATTAAAAATTTAAATTGTTTACATTTACTTCATATTCAGTTTTAAGTATCTCACAGACACAAATTCATGAAGAGACATAAATATGCAGAAATCCATAAGGGTTTGTTCTCCAAGCACCATAACTACTGATGTCTACTATAGTAGCTATGGTATTAGGAGTTTTCTGGCGCAAACGCAGAGTAAGTAGTCAAACTGGTTAAGAATGGTGTGAAAACATACTTGGGGTCACTAGTGTGCCTGACAACACCTTCTATGTAGGAACAAAAAATAGGGACTACACATGCATAGTAGTTGAATTCTCTCCTGGTGCCACACAGACGTGGCATAACCTTTTTCCTCTGGAGAGAGGTCCAGGTACATTAAGTGCAGATTTTATTTGGACACAAAAGGCAAAGTTTTAATTCAGTAAAGTCGTTGTCAAGCCACAATAAACACATTCACAGTAGAGATGTCGCAAACCGCTTGCGAACTTCCCGCGAAGGGCTCGCCGCGGTTCGCCACGAACCATTCGCGGCGAGCTCCGGTCAGCTGACACATCCCGGCCAATCTCCAGCAGACCCTCCAGGGAGGACCTGCTTTTTTTTTTTTTTAAAACCCCTTAAGGACACATGACATGTGTGACATGTCAGGATTCCCTTTTATTCCAGAAGTTTGGTCCTTAAGGGGTTAAATAGGGACACTAAACCAGGTTTGTATTCTAACGCTTTAGTGTTCCTTTAAAGAACGTATTTAGAAACAATTCAAATGAAACAAGTCTGCAGTTGTTTGATATTATAAATAGCTTTTTTTCAAATTTGTTTTCTTTTTTTCGAATAAAATATGTATGGCTTGTCTTGTTTTGTTAAACCCCTCATCTGATCTTGTATTCCCTGTGAGAAAACTCTTATTGTAAAAATGCTCTTGTGTGTTTCTAAATTTTAGTTTGAGATGCAAATTATCTTTGGGGCTTCTGCAGATTAAGAACTGACGAACTGCACCAGAAATAAAATCCACATTGAATAGTGCAGAGGATCAATACTTATTCCCAGTGTAGTAGTTCTTAGAGAAAGCACAATGAACAGACTGCTTTTTAAATTCTATGGTTTTGACTTTAAATTTTATGATCACGGCATCTCGCATTATTTGCTTAAGGTTCCATTATGCTGTTGTATTTATACCAGGCAGTTTGTAGTTTTCTTTTGTTTTATAAAGATGTGTTTTTATAGCAGGTTAAAGTGGGTTCTTACACTTGTAATTGTTTTCTGTGATTCTCTCGGTAGCGGTACTGAAAACCTGCCACATTCATTCAATCTTATATAGAAGTGAATCCAAAGCTTAATAGGTGTGTAGGCCTTGCAGAACATCATTAAAAAGTTAAGAAATTCATTTAAAATTTGTAAAACAAAACAAAAAAAAACCGATACCAACATTCACTGAAAGCTATTGCAGAGATCCAGAGCGTCTGGCAAATCTCAGTAATTCCTGCAGCTCCCATTATTTGAAAGTCTCACATATTAACCTTGGCAATTATATTTTATTGCCCTATGTTATCTTCGATAACCAGATGGACCGTCTTTTTACCAAAATCGTGCTGCTAAAAGTGAAGTGGTAATAAACACCTGATAACGACTCATGATAGACTTTATCATCCAAATACTAAGCCAGTGAATTAAATGTTATGATAATTATTAGCCAGTCAAAGGGACATAAACAGATGCTACTCATGTGTCTCATATTCCCAATTGCAATTAACACCTGTTACGGTTGTTTGCTACAATGTACTTGTGAACTGTATGCAAGCGTTACAAAAAACAAAAAGGTGGTAAAATATCACTATAGTGTCAGGAAAACAAACTCATTTTCCTGGCACTATTTAATCCTTAGGTCCCCCCCACCCTCAGGGTCCCCCTCCCACTGGGCTGAAGGTGTTAAAACGCCTTCAGCCACTTACTTTTATCCAGCGCCGGGCTCCCTCGGCGCTGGTGACCTCTACTCCCCCTCCGACGTCAGCTCCCGAGTGGGGCGGAGTGCGCATCAACGGCCAGAGCCGCAGGCGCATTAAAAATGCCCATAGGACAGCATTTCTCAATGCTTTCCTATGGATGTTCTGCATGCTCAATGCGATTTACGTATTGAGCGTCAGGCAAGCACCTCTAGCAGCTGTTTGGAAGAGGATTAACCCTGCCATGTAAACATAGCAGTTTCTCTGAAACTGCTATGTTTACAGCTGCAGGGTTAAAACCTGGGGGAACTGGCACCCAGACCACTTCATTGAGCTGAAGTGGTCTGGGTGACTATAATGGTCCTTTAAGTGGAACCCAGGAATAAAACTTCAGAGTCACTCCATTTTTATTAATTTATTATTTATTTATTATATGTGAAAGTAAAATTTCCCCTAACCATACAAGTACTTGTATGCCATGTGCACAGTAGGTGTAGTCTTATACACGTTTCAACCTTTCAGAGAGGCTGCTTACAATCTTTCCATATTAAAGTTTGTTTTATTATGTCTTAAACCTTAAAAATAGGAAGCCTAACTCCACCATTTCCATGAGAGACCCTTATTGGAATTCTGGATAAGTGTTCACAAAACCCTGACTGCGCATGTAACAGGACGTGCAAGATGTATCTCATTTTCAGTTTGAGACAGAATCCAGGGATTGCTATTAGAAACTAGTGGCCAAGTTATCTAACTCAGGGTTAGGGAAGGGCCAAGACTTAAACAACAAAAAAACAAACGCAGATCATATCCCTGGGAATATATGCAATCCATATGAGTTTATTACTGTGTTTTTCCTTACGATTTGTGAACACTGCACAGCAGTTTACTCATCCTTATTGTAGAGTCTAACATTAAAGGGACACAATAGTCAATAGAAACTGCAGTAATTACATTGCAGGACTAAGACTGCCTCTAGTGGCTGTCAGTCAGACAGGCACTGGAGGCACTTCCTGATAGCTAACTGACTTTTGGCCACCTGATGCTGGACAAGGACATCCTTGAGGACATCCAGCATCAGTAAAATCCCCATATGAAAGCATTGAAGCAATTCTATGAGGAGCTGAGCATGCGCATTAGTCCCATCCTGTCGGACGACGTTGGGGGTGGCAGAGCAATGAACCAGTGGCGAGGGAATCAGGTGTGTGTTAAAAGTTTTTTAACCCTTTATGAGTGGCGGGGGGAGAGGGGGTGCGCGTGGGCTCTATAATGTTAGGAGTACAGATTTGAAATTCTAACACTATAGATTTGCCTTTAAGAGATCTATGCACTTAACAGCAGGTTGTGGCTGAATTGGAGAATTAGCCATGTGTCTACTTTAATCTAAATTTTATAAGCTGGTTTAAATCACCAGATCTCACATTTTAATGGCTAAACCGTATTAACTTAATAAAAAAAAACTTTAAAAACTATTTTATCAGTCTTCAAGAGCTAACTGGGGGGCGGGGCCTGACCATAATGAGGATTGGACGTGTTCAGGTAGAGCTCCTCATGTAAACAGAAATAATTCTCAAGAATTGACTGTATGGCTCTTCACTGGAAACAAGCACTATACTCTCTGCTAACTTACACGTCTGACCGGCCTGGGAGTGTCTCCCGCAGTCTCAAATGCCTAGCCAGAAGCTGTTTACTGACGAGATTTGTATGGCCTAGCAGGCGCTGCGGAAGGGAGAAGTGGCCGTTCCCCTGACCTGGTGCAGGCAGGACTACCATGAAACTGAGATGGTACCCAGTTAACACCCCTGGACCAGCAGGGGCGATCCCGGTCCCCACCCTTGCGGCTCTTCTGCGCTATTAGGGTCATGTGGTGATACTGCTGACAGTAACACCGTAAGATGTGCATCTAAAATGGCGGTCACGGCAAGTCTCCTGGACACCCACAGAGAGACGTCCTACACTCTCCAGCGTCTAGACATTTTGGAGAAAGTTGAATTGCAGGCAAGCCTTACCCTGTCCCTGCGGTGGAACACACACCTCCAGCTCGCCCCTGACACTTCCAATATCGTCTGGCGGCTTCCTTACCTTGCTCGGCACGTATGAGAAGAGTGGTGTGCAGACCGACATCTACATCGCACACTGCAAAATCTAGCCTTGGGATTGCGCAGATGGATAGAGGGCAGAGAGAGAACCATCGGCAGAGGCAGGACCTAGGGCTGATTCCTTTGGCACTGGGCTTGAAGATCAGCAATATTGTGTGGAACAGTCTCATACCCCTAACGGGCATAGGCTGACCGCCATGTTGTGACTCCTGATGTCTGTCACCTCACAGTTTGATTGCATTTCTCACTGCATGTCACTCTATCTCCCTAATTAATGTTCTGTCACTGACACCAATTCACATCAGCATCAATGTACTGATAATGCAATTCACTATGACACAACACAAGCTGAACGTTCCTCTTATCTTGTTTATGCCTACGGAGCTTTGAAGGGTGAAAATACTGTTTCTTCATAAGCTTTAATATATCTACCTATACTTCATTGATAAAATGCTTAGTTGACGTCTACAGTTTAGACATATATACTGAGCCGGACTCTATTCCTACAAAAAAAGCATAAGTGCAGCATCTCTCATATATGTTTTCTACTAGTGTTATATACAGCTTGTTTCAAGCAGCTATATTGTATGTTTTACATTCCTGTTGGTAATTATAAGGCATATGATTTGATTAGTTAGCTACTTGCTATTGATTGCTGTTTAAATTAGCTATTGTTTGCAAATAAGCAGAGGCCTACCCAGGTGTTAAACATTCCTAGTGGGTGGGATTTTAGGAGTTATATAAGGCTTGTTGTCATTAGCTTGGCTAATATAGCTTGGTTGCTTCATCTAAGTGTTGCTTCTAAGTGTGTAGTTGGAGATATTCTGGAGAGAAACTGGAGGGAATCTGAGGTATTCAGGAGGATAAATAAAAAGTTAATATTTGTTTGATTTAAATTATTCTCCTCATTGGAATGGCAGACTTAGTTCAGTGTAATAGTTGCTATGCATGTGTTTCACATTCCACTTTTTGGAGGTTTAGTTGTTGTCTAATCTGTAGACAGTTCTCTATCTTGCAGTAGGAGATTGTATTTTGAAGTCTGAGATTTGTAAATTATCTGGTGAACAAATCCAGACTGGAACTGCTGCAAAGCCACTGCCGCAGAGACATACTAGGAATGGCAGATGGATTACTGTAGGATCTGGTAGACTTAGAGTTGTGGATAAAAGGCATATTGCACAGTCTGTTGCTCTACATAATTCATTTTCTGTACTTTCAGAGTGTAATGGTGTTGTGGAGAGAGGCACTGAGGCTAGTGGTGTTGTGGAGAGGGGCACTGAGGCTAGTGGTGTTGTGGAGAGAGGCACTGAGGCTAGTGGTGTTGTGGAGACCGGCTTGGAGACTATGGTGAGGCCTAATAGAAAGCAGTTGTTGTTGGGGGATTCCATCATAAGAGGTGTGGAGATGGACAATGGTGGTCTTGTGAGGTGTCTTCCCGGAGCTACTGCTCACAGAAACAGGAGACGTATCTGTAATATTGTTAAGCAAGCAAAGCAGGAAGGGGAATTGGATGTACTTGTCCATCTAGGGACAAATGACTTGGCTTGCAATGAGGAGGTTTCAGAGGTTAAGGAAGTTTTTAGTGTTTTTGCCAATGATTTACGGCAGGTTGCTTCCACACTGTCATTCTCTGAAGTTCTGCCTGTGCATAACACTCAGAACGACAGGCGGATGCGTATTAGGGACTTTAATTTGTGGCTTGGTGAATGGTGTCGGGAGCAAGGATTTGGCTTTATTTCTCATGGTAGCTCTGTTTGGAATGGAAATAACCTGTACAAAAAAGATGGTTTGCATCTTTCTCAAAAGGGAACAAATGTTCTCAGTCAGTAGTTCATAGGTTTTGCTAGGATGTATTTAAACTAGGGGGGGGGGGGCAAAAGGGTGATAAAACATCAATCCAATTGTCCCCCAAAACAAGGACAGAAGGTGCCTGTAGCAAGTGTGTTAAAAAATGATAAGCGTAGAGTAATGTCTACAAATGCTCGCAGTTTAGGGAATAATATCCATGAACTTGTGGCAATAATGGCAACTGATGTGTAGATTTAGTCGCTATTACTGAGACATGGTATAATGAGAAAAATGACGGGACATAGCAATACCAGGGTACTCTTTATATAGAAAAGATAGGGAAGGCAAGAAAGGGGGAGGGGTGTCCCTGTATGTGAAGGATAGCATAAAATCTAGCCTAGTAAAAGTTAGTGAGGCGAACATAGAGTCCATTTGGGTTACGTTAGAATTTGGTAATCACACAGTAACTCGTGTAGGTGTGATTTATAGGCCTCCAGGACAAATTGAAGAGTTAGATAATCTACTAGTTGAGGAAATGGTTAAAATGACAATGAAGGGGGAAGTTATCATCATGGGTGACTTTAATCTTCCTGATGTAAATTGGAAAACAAAATTAGCTACTTGTGCCAGGAGCACACATATTCTAAACTCCCTACTGGGATAGTCTCTAAAACAAGTTGTCGAGGAGCCAACTCGTAAAGAGGCCATATTAGATTTAGTGTTAACAAATGGAGATTTGGTATCAGATATTACTGTAGGTGAAAGTTTAGGATCCAGTGATCATCAGTCAGCAGGGCCGGACTGGCCCACCGGGATACGGGAAATTTCTCGGTGGGCCGTCGGCTCCTGGGACCGGGCAGACACCTGGGTCTGCTGGCGGCCGCTGGGGAGGTCTTCTGGCGGCCGCTGGGGGAGCTGCGCTGGCTCTGCTCCCCCAGCGCACAGCTGAAAGAGACCAGCGCCGGAATATGACGTCATATTCCGGCGCCGGTCTCATTCAGCAGCGCGCAAGGGCAGGAGAGCACAGACAGCGCAGCTCCCCCAGCGGCCGCCAGGACAAGTCCTCCAGCGGCCGCCAGAAGACCTCCCCAGCGGCCGCCAGCAGACCTCCCCCTGGTGTCAGGTACTAGTAATGTGTCTGTCCGTGTCATGGTGTCTGTGTCATAGTGTCTGTCTGTATGGTGTGTGTCTGTCTGTCCGTCATGGGGTGTGTGTGTGTCTGTCCGTCATGGGGTGTGTGTGTGTGTGTCTGCCCGCCATGGTGTGTGTGTGTCTGTCTGTCCGCTATGGGGGGGGTGTGTGTGTGTCTGTCCGGCCAGTGGGGTGTGTGTGTCCCCGCTGGGGTGTGTGTGTCTATTCCGGTCCGGCTAAGCGGGGTGTGTGTGTCTGTCTGTCCGTCATGGGGTGTGTGTGTGTGTGTCTATCTGTCCGTCATGGTGTGTGTCTGTCTGTGTCATGGTCTGTCATGGTGTGTGTGTGTGTGTGTGTCTGTCATGGGGTGTGTATCTGTCATGGTATATGTGTGTTTCTGTGTCTGTCATGGTGTAAATGTGCGTTTAAAAATAGTGTTTTTGCTCACCTTTTTTTTTTTCCCCACGCAGCGTGTTGGTCTCCCCTCGACTGGCCCTGCCTCTATAGCTGAGATCATCAAGCTTGATGATCTCAGCCAATCCAATGCTTTGCCATAGGATTGGCTGCAAAACGCCACTCCAATCAGCATCTCCTCACAGAGATGCATTGAATCAATGTATCTCTATGGGGAACGTTCAGCACCTGCAGAGTGTGGAGGCCCTGAATGTAGGTGCACTGACACAGGAAGCGCCTCTAGTGACCGAATGAGTGACTGTCACTAGCGGTGTCACTTTGAAGTAATGTAAACACTGCCTTTTCTCTGAAAAGTCAGTGTTTACGTTGAAAAGCCTGTAGGGACATGCTATAGACACCAGTACCACTACATTAAGCTGTGTGTGTGCGTCTGCTAGTGAGTGAGCTTGCTTGCATGCGTGTGCCTGCTAGTGAGTGAGCTTGCTTGCATGCGTGTGCCTGCTAGTGAGTGAGCTTGTGTTTTTATGTCAATGAGCTGATGTATATCAGTAAGATTGTTTGTCTATGAGGCTGTGTATCAATGAGCTTGTGTGTGTCATTGAGATGTCAAAGAAATTGCCTGTGTCTGCATGTGAGTATGCTTACTGTATAATTAAACATTTTACCCTGAAAGGACCAATATTTTATATTAGAAAAAGCAACATATATACACATTATATATATATATATGTATATATATATATATAATATTACTCAATCATCTGTCCTGGCAAGACATCGCCTTACATATTACACGCGACAATATAT